AAGTAACCTTTGACCGGGAAAGCCGTAGACTGACACACACATTACGAGGATAACATTCTGAAGACAGGGAGTGATCACTCCAAGCGCTCGGTCACGAACTTGCGTAGCGTTTGGGTGATGTTGCCAGCACACGCGAGCAATCCTGGGTAAACGACGGTTGTCAAAAACTGACAGCCGTTTCATGTCTTCGGAGCAAGCAGGCCAAGTCTCACAGCCATTCAGTCGGACAAAACGGATGCAAACATTATACACCTTACCCTTGATATTGACAGTGACATCGCGACGACGCCAAGTGCGACTCGCTGAGACCTCTCTAAAACAGCCCACAAACGTAATGCGACTTCCTAGATAAGGGAAGCAATCGACTTGCTGCAGAATGTTGCCAGCAGTGGTGAACGCGGGCACAGGCGTGTGCAAATCCTGGCTGGATGTCTCCATTGCTAAGCAGTTCAAAGTGCTGTTTGTTGAGCGCTCTTCAGCAAAGCGACAACATCAGCGTAATCCAAGCCCGCGACATTGTTTTTAGGGAGAAACACAACGCCGCTGTTGTGGATAATTACTGCTTGCTCAACATCTTCGATGTCGAAATGGAGGAGGAAAGGTGTAATGGGGCAACCTCGGCAAATGCCGCTGGCGACAACGGATGAAGAGCAAAAATTATGACCGGCGTGCCTGTACAGCCTTTTGGGAATGGTCACAAACTTGTCACGCATCTTTCCTTAATAAACAGTTTTAAATAGCAGATCTATCTGTTGAATCGAATGCCACCCGAATGAGCAATAACAGCACAATTTTGGTCATCGATGAGCATACCAGTTAAAGAATTTGATGGATTTATACTCCGCGTGGACGAAAGCCGACGTGTTTCTCTATCTAAAAACTCAATAGTCGCCCAAAACCTGTGAACCAAGATGAACATAAAAATCTTTAACGCAACAGTGATCAAAGGAATTCTACAGCAACTGGCACAATCCCCATGAGTTTGGAACCCTCTCGTCAGTCCAAATCTTCGCGAACAATGATAAGAATTTGTCGAAGAGTATATCGGTGCTATATTTGAACAGAGCCGATGGGAGCTGTCATAGCCCGTAGCTTTATGACGTTCAAAAAGGTTGGATTGCATTGCGGATCTCTTCTTTCACAGGAAGATCAGCGGGTACAGGCCAGTCAGTGTCTGGTGGTATCGGTCTCGAGGACGATGAGGTGGATGTCTATTGTCTCTTAGGATATGTGATAGCGGTATAAATGTTTCTGTATTAAGATAAAGCCTGGCAGTGGGTTGAACTGCGACCAAGTAGTCGCAGTGCTAACGCGATACTCAATGAGCAACCAACTTCCCCTAGAGATACTCTTGACAACAGATGCAGATTAATTCTAGCACATGGCAAGCAATTACCGTGGTAGAGCTGTACGCCACCGGGCGCGTCCCCATATTGCGGATTAGGGAATGCCTTCCTTGAGGAGGTAACTGCGAATAAGTCTCGTTTGCCTTCCAGGTGAGATGAGTAAGCAGCCACGGACAATCAGCGGCAGCGTCTCAGAGAGTGGGGAGTTCTAGGCTAGTCACCTGGTTCTTTATCAAATACCATAAGAGCTCGTACGTCGCTGTGACAAAGCCAACGTGACCGGCTATAGGGTCACTGACCACTCACTTCTGTAACCCGAAGTGAGTGCCTAACGGAGGGCGGATGAACAACCTTGTTGGCCACTGGCTTCTCTGTGGACTGCTACTGAACACAAAGAAGGCGAATGAGCCACCCGGATGTCAACGGTCTTCGTTACTCGCCCCGCTGCCTTGCAGGTCAGGTCTATATGACCAAAGACTTGGGATGGGGTCGCAATTTCTCGGCCTGGGCAACCGGGAAGATCTTTGACAACACAACACATTAACCTCCTAAACCTTCAAAACCCTTCCCCTGAATAACAGTTTTCCCCATTGTTGTTGTTGTTAAATATGTGTTGTGTCACTGTCAATAGTATGTTGGTCAAGTGTTGAATAATAACAATAATGGTAAGCTACTAACTTGGGTGGCAACCTGTAAGGATGGAGTGGGAAAAACTTTGCTTTTCCCTAAGGGTGGTGTACTCCAGGATGCCATGTTGGAAACATTCCTATATTTTACTCCGTTTGCTAAGTAGTCGTCTGTGGTATTTTTATCGCGGTGCAATACGCGTTTGACGTCAGCATGGTTATCAATGAAAAGACACTAGACTCTTCAATAAAATCACATAAGCAGCTGTATGAATTAACAATTTGATCCAAATCCAATCACTATACGCGAAAGGTGTGACAAACTCTTTTTGTCGAATATAAGACGTTATCAGTAGTCCCTTACAAGATCCATACCAACGGTGAGGAATTGCACTCCAATAAGGCGACGCACTTGGGAGCCATGATGGGTCATGGGTTACAATAGTCATACAATAGTATGCAGCCCTCACAAAATTCCGAAAATTTTTGCTCAACTTTTCACTCTCCGCAAGACTGGTGGTTACCGAAGGATCCGTGTGCTGAAATCAGTAGATCTATTATAAAAGAGGAATTCAAAGCAATCAGTTTCCCACAACAATTTGAAACGCACAATGAGAAGACGAACCTCAGCAGATGCGTGCATTTCGTATCCTCTCTTCAGTGCCAGAAACGATAACTGTTATTAAATACAACTGTCAAGTGATGCAAACTTGCAAACAAACGTAAGGAAAAAAGGAAGTCACGCTCCTACGTCCAAGACTACCTGAGGATGACTGATAGTTGCTTTTGAACAAGTAAAATCCTTGCGCGCCCGGTTTGTACACCACAAATACTGGAAAGTTGGACCGGCCAAGCTACATTGGTCCGACAAGGTGGGTAGCAAACTGACTCCACAATGGCACAGACTATGGAATAAATTCGTGTCGTCTGGCTCTACCGAAGACTACGAGGCGTACGAAAGACAGCGAAATTTCTTCAACAACGCGAAAACAGAAGCACTAAAGTTCGAAGAGCAGCTTGCAGGCATAGCAAAAAGAGCTTGCAAGAGAATCTTTGCTTAAGTGAAGCACCGCCTGAAGCCGACCGGCAATGTGTCAGTGTTGGAAGGCTCAGAGGAAAAGCCCCTAACCACGAGCACGGATCGTTCATCCGTATTGGCGGCGCAATTCTCCGTATTTGCAAGTGAGCAAGTGACTGTATCGAGTCGGACGCGCACATATCGAATTAAATAACCTAAATTGTAACATTGAAGACGTACGCCATTTGCTGGCCAGTCTTGATGGGACGAAGCCTTTAGGGGCTTGAGGGAATCTATACCGTGATTCTGATGTCATTAGCGACCATCAGGTCGCCACTAGAAGTGCACATTTTCATAGCCAATATCAAAAGTCGGTGACCCAAACAAACTGGACAACTACTGAACGATCTTCCGGACCGGTGACTTGACTAAGACACTTGGGAAGATTGTGGAAGGTCTGTAGTCTATTGTGTCAAAAATCCTCTTGATACCCGCACAGCATGGTTTCGTGAAAGATTGCTCTGACATCACCAACATCGTCTTGACGACCCACGAATGGTTACAAGTGCTGAACCGGGGGAAGTGGGTCGACATCCTTTACTTTAACTTCAGTAAGATATATAACAAGGTGGACCGTGAGGTCCTTCTTCACAAGATGAGGGTTTGCGGTGTTGGCAGCTCGACACACCAATGAGTCCAGAATTTGCTTGCTGGTTGATAGTCCAAGTGGAACACTATCTGACTGACTGGTATCCTTCAACCAGTGGCATGAACCAAGACACGGGAAACTCATTTTGATGTAGACGATGCGCCTCGGCTTCTCTGTTCCCTTTGTGTTGTTTGCAGATGACTTGAAGGCATAGCGAGTAGTCTGTACGTCCGATGACTGTGACTTGTTCCAGGGCGACTTGGACCGACTGGACTTGTGGTCAAGAGGTCAACCCTCCTTCCGATCAACTAGATTAAATCGTGCCATATCCCAGTTAGCTTGCAAATTATATGGCCCAGCCAACGTCCCCATGGCTCAGTGGACTAAAATGCTGACTAGTTAGCATCTGCCGCTAGCGGTCATGGGTTCGATCCCCATTGAGGGACCGAGGGAATGCGCTCCACTGACCAGCCCCAATAGGATGAAACACGTCTGGTGCTTTTCCGGACTAGGCTATGCTAGGTAGCTTGTGAACTACTGGGATAAAAGCCTTAAAATTATAACTAAAATCCGGATACTCACGAGTAATATAGATTTAGAATTGAATAAAAACGTTACGTGAAAACGGCGCTGACGGAGAGCTGACGCCGGTCGTAAGGACTCAGTATATGAGATCGAAAACATTTAAATGTTTTATAGGTAGGTATGTTATGGATGATATAATGGTATGGCGCGGCGCTTTTAAAAAAACCAGCAATACAAAATCTATGGAGAGCAACCTCGAATAATGGCTTGCCTAACACCCCAAGATGCACATAATGCATAGAAAACTAACAACGGATAGCCGAAACGAGTCAAAATCCATGGATAACGAGGGTCAAAGATTTGCATTCGAAGGGTCCAAATCACACGGCTTAGAACTCAAAGGGAAACTTCACACCGAGGCTAAAGAAGCTGCACACTGAACAACACAGTCCAAGGTTTGTAATACCTGAAAGATCTGAAATCACATGTCCATCAGTACCAATATAGAATTCGGGAAAAGTAACTCGCACAAAAGTCGAGAGTTCCTTGTTGCTAAGTACAAGGGGGTGAAGTAGACTAGTGGGGTAGCAACATCGCTTGTGCTTAAAGAGTGTAAAATGTGCGTACGTATAGTAGTAGAAAAGGATCTGTCGCACGCAGATGTAGAGGCTGCAGACAGACGAATCACATAAACAAAAGACGCCGGATCTACTCCTGGGGACAAGCTCTGCGCAACCGTGAAAGGGGATTCAAATCCATGGGAAGTGCCGCAGCAAACAAAGGAAGGGCGGAAACTGTCATACATGAAGGCGAGAAAATAGGAGCAAGTCACTCACCATCAAATGGAGTAACGGAGAAAGCACCGATGGAGCCCGCCAAGAATCCGGACAGGAAAGACCAGTAGAAAGCAGCCTCAATGCTTCCAGGAGAACGACGTGGACCCTGAAGAAATAGTGATCATAAAGGTGAATTGGCGGGGAGCGTGAAAAATGAAGTTGATTGACAACAAAGACCACTGTCAACAGCCGTAAGAGAAGCATGAACTCAAAAACTCAAAGCTGTATCTCTGTATCCCAACTTGTGATTGCGACAGGCAAAATGAAGAAGGAAACTAAAGTAATTGGGTCGATATATTTTCAATTTAGAGAAACCAATAGACTAGAAACACCACTCAGTAGAAAGGCAAAAGGAACATACCACATGCCGAACACAAACAACCTTTACACCGGTGATCACAGTTCCAAATCATAACTTATGCGTTCCCGAGATTCGGTCTGCGGACATGCGGCGAAGAAATTCAGCAGCCGTAAGTGTGACAGATGAACGTTATGCTCGCTCCCCGGAGCGTTGACGCAGTGGCTGTGCAAAATTCCGCCGAGACAAAGTACGTCCAATAAGACTTATTTTAGAGGATACGGCGTCTCTTCATCCCTCTCTCGAATCAAACAATAGAAGCGAGCCGATACTACCTCTCGACCCTTAAAAGTTAATAGAGCAAACAGCCGACCACTACCATGTGGAAGCATGATGTTACTATCCCAATCTGTTAAGAGAACCATCGGTTCAGAACCCGTAAAAACCGGTGAAACTGTCCCCGATGTCATAAACAGTAATGAGAGCGACTATCGCTGAGGCATTGCTGTACAAAATAAACAGTTCTCACCTCACAGCTTTGGGCAGAAAGGCTTCTGTCGACACTAGTTATGCATAACCAACCTGAAAACTGGGCAAGGCACTTAACATGAAACGGTAGACATTTCTCCGAACCGTTACATCAATTACGTGGATCAACGCATCCTTCTTCACCAGCTTCTGCACTGTGCAACTGGGTATCCTGCTGGCTTCCCGAACAACTTCTATGTGGCGCCAGCTGGGTGGTTCGGGACCTACCCGTTCCAGCAAAAAATCCAGCTGCAGAATTCCAGGATGTGGAACATTTTCGCCTTGGCAAGCGTTCTCATTATAAAAAGCCACATATGTCTGTTTAACGAAATTGTAGCGTGGCGCACATTACTAGCCATTAAATAGAGTCATTAACTCTTGATTCGCTCTGAATGGCATTGTAATTCAAGGGTGTGTTGGGCTCTTGGTCCTTTGCGAGCCTTAGATCATATGAGCCACTTGTTTGGTCACCGGCTCCCGACGAGTTGCGACGCCCTCATGTCACCCTGACGCCTTGAAGGTCAAACCCCTGATCAAAGGCTCTGGGTAGAGCCTCCTTCTATTTAGACCTAAACAGCCGGGTAGTACCACGCTCACTGACGAATCATGAATGGGCTATAATAGTACTCTCATTCTTTCTGTCTCCCTACTCTAATGTCCCCACTGCTCAATCTGCACTCACAGATTGTTCAACGTCCCATTCTTAAACTACACTTATATCCTCCCGGGTCACTAGCAACCGCTGCTCACTGGTCGCATCTGAGAGAATTCAAAGTCAAACTCATGGTGTTCGACGCCCGGCAATCACAACCTTCTCACACCACCGAAGTGCCACCTTTTCTTCGGCCAGGTTTCTCTATACAGCCTCGCGGCGTTCAATGTTCGCACTCTGATGCAGATCGGACGGCCATCATGCCTAATAAACACACTTGAGACGCTCTCGAAAGACAAATGTTGCTTCTCGGAACCCAGACTGCAAGCCTCCAGTATCGTCATCAGAATGACCTCTCCTGCAAATCCAGACGTCAAATACCATTTGCGCCTTTCCGGGGACCGTGAGGCTTCCACTTCTGACCAGGCTGGTGTGGGGTTGCTCTGAGTGACAAAGCTGAGTAGGCTCTGCCTGGCTGGATCCCAGTCAACAGCCTGTTATGTGCACTCAGACTACGAAATTCATGTAAATAAGGTAAGCGCCGAGATGTTACACGCGCCTTATGTCGTCTATGCTTAAGATGCTACAAAATGCAACCCGAATGCGGTCAATGATTGCTTTTACCAACTACCAACAACCTACTGCGCTCCGTAAAAAGCCTGATATTGTCACTCTTGTCGGAGGGTTAAACGCACGAGTGAGTCGCAAGTCACCAAACGAGCACCACCTTGAGGTCGGTTTTAGCCTCGGTAGCAGTGAAGCAGACAATGAAGACAAACTACTGACTCTTTGTTCTGATCATCGTTTGTTTCTTTCGAGCAACAGTTTTCGGCACTCGAACAGACAGACTGATACCTTAGTGCCCGCCTTCTCAAAAGCAAGGGTGGTCCCAGTTTCAGTACAAAGCAATAAGCTACAGATAACGCAGTGTATCAGATAGCCATTCGTATTGGTCAACTTGTCTGGACTCCGATCACGTAATAGTTCGCGCTGTTATGCATGTGTTTCGGAGGATCGCCTAGGCGCAGGCATTATCGACCAAGCGTAGAAAATCTACAAGGCCCAAGAACGTTAGCCAAATACCAGGTCTCTCTATCAACACTGCTTACCCTGGCCTCTGACGATGATCGGAATTGACAGCGGATGCGCATTGACAGTTGTGGAGTTGCTCATCACCCGCCGAAAAGGTTGATCACCGTTGTCTCCTTGCCGCTAATGAAGAAACGCCGCTCGGTCCCGCCTATGCTAGCTGTAGTGAAGAACGATAATCCCAGGATCAAGAACTGCGCGGGAGTTCACAAAGGACTTTGAAACCTGGTGGTGTGGTGTTAGAAAGATGTAACTTGCCAACCTCTGTGATAAAACCAGAAGACCTATCCATCTCACACAGGTCACCGAAGGTCTCCGATCAGGTGTAGGCGTAACAATCTGCGATGAGGATGGCTCACTGATCTTCAACGACGGTTGGAACGATGGGCGGAACATTTTTGCTCGCAGTTTTGCTTTACGCTAGCTCCATCTTCTTCCGCTGCAGCGCTTACTGGTGCTGAGTGCTCCATACCCACAGATTCATCCTCTCCCCAGGAAATCTGGTATGAACTATTGCAGCACCATAAAGCACCCAACCATGACAGCTTACCTCCCGACCAGTTGAAAGATGGTGGCTAGTTGCTGGTTCAATAAATAATAATAATGTGTCAGCTGTAGGCCGTAACGGCATTTCGCTGCCGCGCGACCACCACAAGTCGAGCTAGGCCGCCCAACCTTACGCGGACTCGAACCGTGGATCTTATGGTTGCAAACCAGGCGCGCAGACCACTACGCCAACGGCCGATAACTCACCGCTTTGTTCTCACGTTATCGATCAATACATGTTAGCCGAGGGTGAGAAACACACCACAATGTGCCGCAATACAAAAATATAAGATATTGAAAAGATATACTGCAAAGAATCCAAAAGGCAAGTGATATTATGTTGAACATTACATTACGCATTTCGCACGAGATCGTAATTGGAGGGGAAATCTAAAGGGAAAGTTGTGAACAAGAAGGCTCACAGTACAAACGCCACTGGAGTCGGATTCTAGCCATATCAGCAAATGTGTCCAAGCAAACGTGTTTATCGTCCTTAGGACCCCAGCTCGACACCAACAGACGCCAAATTTGGAGTGAGTTTTCATTACTCTAGACTAAGTCATCGTTTGGCCTCCCTTCCTCCTCTTCCAACCGCACCCCAAACGTCCAAACAACGCAAGTCGAGGAAGTCGTTTTGCTGGCATGTGTAGTACGTGGCCCAGCCATCGCAGCATGGTGCGTGATATAATGGTACTGAGCGATTCACTCGCTCTTTCTGCACTAAATACGCGACTATGAACACGCTCATTGCTCATGCGGTGTTCCCACCAGACATGAGCTAGGCTGAGAAGGTAGTGGTGAACAAATGTGACCACCCCTTTATGTCTGTCGACCTGATGAGCCAGGTTCCCCAACCGTATAAGAGAGTTGAACGGATGGATGCATTATAAACTCTGCCCCTGTGGCTTTATTTAATTTCAAAAGTCTGATCTCACGTTCGACAGCTGCGCGTAAGGGCTGGCCCAAGGAGACAGCCCAGAGAAAAGGGCACTCAATTCCCGAAAGAGAAAGCGATAAGTCAGATTGGTTAAACTGTTTTGCAAAGTGTTCGGCCCAACGCTCAAAGTTTTTCGAGAAGCTTTGGATCAGCTGTCTACTCTCGTCCAGTATGGTTCCGCAAACATCAGGTCTCCTGCTGTCTACTTCTCGTATCAGACGAAATAACTCATGGTGATTACCAACAGCAGCGGCTGTTTCCAGTTCCGACGCATGATGAGACCAACAGGTCTCGCATGCTCTCTTCAGGCTAGTACGCAGTTTTGCCCTGAGCATTTCGCGATGCTCATTGTACCCGCTTCCATTCGGAATACGCCGGAGAGCATAAGTAAGTTCCAGACACTGTGTAGAGATCCAATGTCTAGGTTGGCAATTTGATTTGTCATATGAAGACATGCATGCTGATAGTAACGCCGGCAAATATGCGACCAGCGATCTTCGACGGTGTTCAGTAAACGCTTACTCAGCCCGGATGCCAGCGTACATTGATACGCATTCAGAACACCGCTTCGCCAGTTGGCTGGTGTCTATGCGCTCACAGAGAACTTGCGGATGCCCGCCGAAACGCACCGGAAGGTCAGCACGCACAAGAGGGTGATGGTAGTCCACGCTCGCGCTCCAAATCGATCGATAATTCTAGACGCAGCCTCTCCAGCGGTAACTAATCGCGATGTGATCGATTTGCATCAATGGATGGCATGAGGCTGGTGGGCGTCAGGTCACTCGTCTGCGGGTGCTATGTCGAGAATTAGTGCTCGAAAGAAAGAGACAAGCACCTTCACAGATGTAGCAACCGCTCACTATCATAACGAAAGCCCACACCATGTTGGCCGCCCAGATGAAGCTCATCAGAGGGTAATTTTCCGACTTGGCTGTTTAGATCACCAGCAAGCACCACAGTATCCGTGCTTATCCTGTAGCAAAGGAGATCGTGAAGTTGCTGATAGAAAGCGTCTTTCACCGAATCAGAGCTGCATTTTGTCGGGGCATAAACCGC